GTGAAGGCTACAGTATGAAAGCATTTAGCTTCCCCACCCACAGCCATCCCGGAGAACTGAACAGACAGACACCACTGTGCGCATTCTAAGGGATGTCATGGCAAGTGGGTCCCGGTCAGACAAGGGGCAGAGACAAATGTGCCACGAATGTGCATTCTAGAAGTCACAGCCACCTTCACCGTTAACCCCTAGCAGAATTCCAGATGGGACAGTTAAACAAGAAACTAGTACACAACCTTAAAAGAGGAGCCAATAAGAATTTACAGAGGTGGAGTGAGGACGGGATGAGGCTGGAGCTAGGGCTCAGCAGTTAAGAGCACTGGCTGCTCTTGCAGAGGTCTCCAGTTCTATGTCCAGCACCCACACAGTGGCTCACGGCCATCTCTAGGTCAGCTCCAGAGTATTTGATGCGCTCTTCTGATTTTAGAGGGTACTAGGTACATACATGATACAGATACATACATGAAGGCAAAGCACTCACATACACACAAAATGAATAAATATCTTGTTTTTATTTTTGTTTCTGTGTAGCCTTGGCTGTCCTGGACTGGCTTTGTAGACCAGGCTGGCCTCGAACTCAGAGAGATCCACCTGCCTCTGCCTCTCCTAGTGCTGGGGTTACAGGTGTGTGGCCCCATGCCCAGCAAATGAATAAATCTTAAAGAATTTACTAGGGACTGGTCAAGCAGACTTTATTCATTTAAAAATCTTTAATGAAAACCTGAACTTTATCACAATCCAAAAAAATAAAATAAAATAAAGTCTCTCTATCTCCCCATTCTCTCTTTTTTTTTCCTGTGACAGATTTGATATTCAAAATCTTCTTGCTGAGCTTATAAAAGCCAAAGAGACTAGATAAGCATAATAAGGAATTGAAGTTAAGTACAAAGGTATTTCCAATTATCCATGAGTGTGTTTTTAATGTCTACATGCATATCTTTGTATACACCATACATAAGGACCGGGCATGCATGCCTCAGGGAATTTCATGCCTTTGGTTCCAGGTTCTGCCACTCATTAGCTGTGTGAGTACACTGGACATTTCTGAGTTTCAGTTTTCACAACTGCAACATGGAAATAGACTAAGTACTTCACACATACTGAAGAAAAGACATACGGCATAGCTACCCAACAAAAGGCCATCATTAGTAATACTATAATTTAAAAGATAAATTTCAAATATAAAGGGCTGGAGAGATGGCTCACTGGTTAAGAGCACTGGCTGCACTTCCGAAGGACCTGGGTTCAACTCCCAGCATCCACATGGTGGCTTACAATTGTCTGTAACTCCAGTTCCAGGGGGTCCAGTGCCTTCTTCTGGCCTCCACAAGCACCAGGCACGCACATGGCATGCAGATAGCAATGCAGGCAAAACACCCAAACACAGAAAATATTTTTTAATTCAAATATAAATCAGAAAAAAAAGAAGAACTAAAATTTTAATTTACTGAAAGATTAACATCTAATAACCAAATAACATATTTCAGGTGCAAATGGAAGGTTCTTAATATGATGATTGATATGGATAAGCCCAAATAAACCATCTCAACTAACTCTAGTTGGTCAGATCCTATTTGAAATTCCCCATCCCTTTATCATACTTGAGTGCAAGCAAGGGGAAAGTTACATAACACCTATAATGGTTCAAAGCCCCAAACAACAATATCTAAGAAATTCTTGAAAGAAATGTTGCTTTTACCAAGGAGAATTTACATGATGGCTATCTTCTGATGTTGAAGACATTTGCTGTGGCGTATGACATAAACTTGATCTACACATCTCCAAACAGGAAGATTAGAGCAAGCAAGCGCTAGCGGTTATTATGAGATAAATTTGTGATTCAACACATACAAGAGGTGTTCAACAATGCAATGAGCATTCTTGAAAAACAGTAAATTCACAATTACTCTAATTTCCACAGGGGGGAAGAATCCAGCTGTCAAGGACAGTGCAGAAGACCTTGTTGCACTGGAAAAGGAAGTAGCCCAGTCTTGGAGTTCACCATGCTCCCCAGCTGCTCAGGCATGACTAATCAGCGGCCACTCTCTTTCTTGCAAAGCTAAACCCAGCCTGGCAATCCCTTCAATACAGTGCTTCAAGTCATGATGATTAATTCACTGAAGCTGACAACCAGCCCAACCCAGACGATTCCTTGATGTCCTAAGATGCCACCATTTAGAATTTCCCTCCTTGCACAACCCTAAGTCTGTAAATTAATTAGAACACAAGTCATGGTTAAGCGCAAATGTATTGCCAACTCTCCGTGGGCGCATTTGTCTGTGTCTCCATGTATGCCGTGTGCACCCCTCTACACGTGGGCCCGTGCAAGCATGCCTTGGTTCTAACTCAACACGGAGACCACCTGGAAAAAACAGCATGTTGACCAGGGGACCCCTAACCAGCAGACCCCAGTGTCGGTGGGGCCACCTTGTTCGTGCTTACTGGCATTGTTTATGGGTACCCATTCATTTTTGCCTCTAAAATATTCTAATTTGCCCCAAACTGTATAAAATTTCAAATCTGCTGCTTATGGTGTCATACATCTCCATTCTAGGACTCGGGCTGAGGCAGAAGAATTACGATTTTAAGGCCAGCCTGTGCCTGGTGAGTCTGAGGCCAACCCAGACTAGACAGTGAGACACTGCCTCACATTTAAAAGAAAAAGAGTCCGTGCAGAGAAAACCCTAGGGGAGAGTGCGTAGAGGCAGGTTGCAGACATAGCGAGGTAAAGCCCACTCTGTCGACAGGCACCGCTGTCCTTTCTATATTGCCTCCAAGGGTGAGAGACAGTGTCACGGGCTCATCTAGGCAGGATGGTTTTTCATATAGAACTCTGGTCACGGAGGAAGTGTGTCACGTGGGTGTGGGAAGAAACGAGAGGAAGTCTGCTGCCTAGCACTTCCCTAGATTCCCAGGATCTAGAGCTTGGGAGACAAGTTAGAAATCCTAGTTGTCGTTGGCCGCTTCCCCGTGCTTGCTGTTTTCAGCAGCCTGATCTGGACAGAGGGGGCTCTGCTGGACAGGCCGCATCCTGACAGGCAGATGTCAGCCTGTGGCTAAGAGCGCTGAGTGAGGGGATGGAAGGGTACACTGCATGTCTCGTGTCTAAAACCCCTGGATATTAGATCATGACACCATCTCCAGCATCTTCCTCTATCAGGATCAAATGCCATATAGCAAGATTTGAAAAAGAAATCAGGCAACATTCTCTTTGAGGACCATTCCCACCAAATGATTGACAAAGAAATAAGATATCTTTTGGGAGGCTGGAGAGATGGCTCAGAGGTTGAGAGCACTGACTGCTCTTCCGAAAAGTCCTGAGTTCAATTCCCAGCAACCACATGGTGGCTCACGGCCATATAAAATGAGCTCTGGTGCACAATGAGATATGGTGTATACATAATAAATTTTTTTAAAAAATCTTAAAAAAAAAGATACCTTTTTGGAGCCATAAAAGTCTGAGCAACATAAAGGCAATGTGTATGGTGTCAAAGAGTGTCCATGCTTAACTCTATCTTTGCTATATGAGCTGTATACACTTTAGTTTCAGTAACACGGGGCTGGTTTACACTAAGCAAAGTATACATTTAACACACAGAGAGCTAGACAACAGAACATGGAGACAGCAAGTCAGGGCTCAAAGGCCCTGGCAAACTGAAATGTGTTATATCTAGATCTGAGCCAGAATTGAAGACTGCCACTTTTTATTTCCATTTCCTTTCTTCTTATGATGGTTTAGATCTTTTTTTTTTTTTTTTCTGGTACCTCCCCTTCATCTGCCAAAATGACAGCAGCTTGTCCTGTGATTCTTCATGGCTCCACAGTGACTCCACATTCTAGTTAGCACTCCTACATCAGGAGAGCCAAACACATCTGTCATTTGATCAACATACGATCATCGAGTAAGAGATTAGTAGATGCCTTTGCTATGAAGCGCCCTTCCCTTCTAAGCATAATGCAGTGTTATTATTTGATCGTCAAGAACCACTCAGGGTGGAAGGAACGATTAGACAGGCCCATACATAAACATCCCCCTCCTTTCAGGGCAGCTGGACTATAAATATACAAGATGTGTCCTGGAGCCAGCAAGAAATCACCTAATGATTTTCCACTTCTAAGCTCTCAAGAGCCCTTTCTGAGAAAGCAAAGCTAATGTGTTGGTTTCTGCTCCATTCTTCAAATAATAGGCAGAGGCTATTATCCTCAAAAGAAAAACATCATCTAGTAACAAAGTAATCCAAGTGGAAATCTCTTTTGCCTTTCCAATTATTTCCCCACAGTCTAGGATTCTATAGGTTTAAATCATAAAACATAGCAAGTTTTAAGAATCCTAGCTCCCCAGAAGGACAAGCTACTTAGAAATTAGGTCACATCTTAGGGCTCTCTGCCAGACTCCTGAACAGGAATAGGAACATCAATGCCAGAAGTATCTTTGAACACAAAGAACAATGACAGATAATGTTCTGTTGGGAAACGCTGAACAGCTATATCCCTCGTGTGTGGCATCACTTGGAGTAAAACTTCCCTGACAAAAATAAAGGGACTCAGTGGAATGCTTTCAATATCTGCCTTTATAAAACAGACTATTTCCGTATTAGTTTTGCTACTGTAATTTATATTTCCTATGCTTTGAACTCCATAGCATGGAATTAAAAATATAGGAAAAATAGATGAACCTCTGCTGTTTTCTTTCTCCCCACTATGATCCCATCCCTACCCTGCCTCTAACATACACAGAAATAATTAAGGATGATTGTTGAAGAGCTCTGACTCCTTCAGTTCTTGAAGCATCCTTTCCCCTTAAAACACGATGTATTTTCATGATTTAACTTTCAAAATTCACTCAGAAGTGATGGAGACACAGCTCCAGGCATCCAGTCAGGACTTTAAAGATATCAAGTGGCCTTTGCCCATGCAATTCCCTGCTCTTATCAGGGAAAAGAACAAGTCCAAACTCCTACAGCGAGTAACAGCTGGGACCTGTTGGCCTCAGTTCAGACCAGAACCTGCTGGTAATGGAGTTCCCAGGGCATTTTTACAAACATCCAAGCTTGGATGGCCAGTTGACAGTGGTTTTCAGACAGGAGAGAGAGAAGGAGCCCTCCAGACACCCAAAACTTGCAAAGTGGCATTAGTCCTCAGTTTCTTGACAAGGGACAGAGGGTCTGCTTCCGGGCACAGAGATGCCCTGTGGGCACAGTTAGGTAAGTGCGATCTCGTGTACATTTCAGTGAGAGTCTGAAATGTATTTGTTATTTTTGTTATTTTTTGTTATTTTTTGTGAGAACTGCTGCCAAAGCTTTCCAAGACTCTGTTGCCTAGTTGTCTTTTAAAAGAAGAAAGCTCCTTGAGACACAGTCCTATTCCAGGGGAAATCAGTAGAAAATGTTAATCTGCCTGTGATAAATTACTGTATGTATTGATTTCCATGGCTTTTAGGGCTCTTAGTAACAACTGGGAGAAGACTAATTGTTCTGGAATGTGTGTGCTCTTAGAGCATCGCTTCAGGGAGTGTGGAGCATGCTGGTTAGTCGAGAATTATGTTATAGGGGGAGAAATTTTCCTTTAATGTAATGGAATCCTCCATTTTCAACTCCTCTTTAGCATTTATAAGACAAACAATACCAGGAAGGGAACATTAAGCCGCCATCTGCTTTGTATGCAGAACTGGACAGAACAATTCACTTGCAGCGTGCTACTTTAATCTTTTCTTTAAAACTGCCAGAGCGTTGTTCAGTGAAAGTCTCTCTTTGGGGCAGATACCAGCAAAAATACATGCCAGGCCACAATTCTACCGTCACAATCCCTATGAGCAGTGCTGGTCATGAAGTTCTGTTTTCAGAGACTACATATGCAATGTTTAAGAGACGGACCTGTGATAAAAAGCGCAAGAAAATTCTAGAAGCATCTATCACCCTGTTCTTTAGTAGGCTGGATTTGTCCACTTGGTAATGCTCCCCTTACTAAGTCCACTCATTCTTCACGGGGTTCCTCCGTGGATGTTCTCTGAGCCCACGCAATAGTCGGGTGGCCTTCCAGCACACCATAAACTTTGTACCTTACCTGCTTGATACTTTTCACTCCGACCAGTCATCTCTAGTGCTGGAGTGGACACGTCTTTGGAGGCGTGTCTGATCCGTCCGGCAGCTGCCATCTCTCACAGCGCACTCTGTGCAGTCCAGAGGTAGTCATTGACCTGAAACTTCATTACCAATCATCACATATCCCAGCTTGATCAAAGAACAGCCGGTGCAGCAAAGCAAGCATCGGTGGGGAGAAGAGCGAAGTTCCACCAAGGGGCAATTCCCTGCCAACCAATACTTAGCTTATTGTATACTTAGAGCTGATGAAACGCGGAGGAAGCCGCAGGGACAAAGTCCAGAGGGCAAGTAAAGACCAACATCATAGAAGGCAGAACTGTATTGATCTTGCTCTTTTCTTCCTGATATCATCTTTCTCTCTCTGTTTCTTTTTTATCTCTCTCTCTCTGTCTCTCTGTCTCTGTCTCTCTCTGGTTTCCTACTTCCTTCTACTTCTTTGCTCCCTTGCACTGTCCTGCCTGTGTATGCAGCTCTTACCACTAAATGGGTCTAAGCAAACAGGAAATGAAGTTTGAGTCTGGGCTACAGTTGGACTTCAAGGATGTCTGCTTCCCAGAGATGGATTACAGGACCTCCCTTAAGTTCTAGAGAACGCATTTTAAACATGGCATTGACTCAGTGTGTGGCTGTGTGCACAGGTCAGAGGACAACTCTGAGGAGTTGGTTTTCTCCATCCCGCCATGTGGGTCCTGGGGATTGAATTCAGGCTCTCAGGCTTGGTAAGGAGCTCTTCTACTCACTGAGCCACCTTGATGGACCCTAAGCTTTTAGACAAAGGAACCGGGAGAGGATTTTGAAAGATGGCAATTATCAAGGACTTGGGAATGAGGGGCCCAGATATCCTACAGTTGGACCCAGAAAGCCAAGTGTGGCCTTGAACAAAGCGGGGAGTCACATTATCCCCACTTGTGTGTAGGAGTTACATAACTTTTCCCTTTCTCACACTCAAGTATACTAACCAGAAAGGAACAGGGACTTTCGAATAGGATCTGACCAACTAGAGTTAGTTGAGATGGTTTATTTGGGCTTATCCATATCAATCATCATATTAAGAACCTTCCATTTGCACCTGAAATATGTTATTTGGTTATTAGATATTAATCTTTCAGTAAATTAAAATTTTAGTTCTTCTTTTTTTCTGATTTATATTTGAATTAAAAAATATTTTCTGTGTTTGGGTGTTTTGCCTGCATTGCTATCTGCATGCCATGTGCGTGCCTGGTGCTTGTGGAGGCCAGAAGAAGGCACTGGACCCCCTGGAACTGGAGTTACAGACAATTGTAAGCTGCCATGTGGATGCTGGGAGTTGAACCCAGGTCCTTCGGAAGTGCAGCCAGTGCTCTTAACCAGTGAGCCATCTCTCCAGCCCTTTATATTTGAAATTTATCTTTTAAATTATAGTATTACTAATGATGGCCTTTTGTTGGGTAGCTATGCCGTATGTCTTTTCTTCAGTATGTGTGAAGTACTTAGTCTATTTTCATGTTACAGTTGTGAAAACTGAAACTCAGAAATGTCCAGTGTACTCACACAGCTAATGAGTGGCAGAACCTGGAACCAAAGGCATGAAATTCCCCGAGGCATGCATGCCCGGTCCTCATGTATGGTGTATACAAAGATCCACGGAGCTGGGTCACGGAGAGATGCAGAGTCAAGGTCTAACTCTGCTCCCGTGAGTCTTTTGCTGCTGTGATGCAAAAGTGTTGAGCATGTTCTTTCAGAAACTACTGGAAGGCCAGAAGAAAGGAAAGGAAAAGGGAAGTAACTGGCGGCATCTGCTCGGGTTGTGGCTCCTCCTGTGAATCTGACAAGCCAGACCACCTGAGAGGAGAACGTCCAGTGAGGGACTGTCTGCAGCAGACTGGCCTGGGGGAGATTAGCTTAATTAAGTTAGTTGATGTGGGAAGGCCCAGCCCTCTGGAGGCAGCACCATTCAGGAAGCCCTGAACTGTCAGAGTGGAAAAAAATCAGATGAGCACAAGGAAGCAAGTCAGTGAATATGTGCGTGTTCACCTCTCTGCTCGTGACTGTGGATGCCTGTGACCAACCATCTCAGGCTCCTCCTGCCGTCACCAACCACCTCCCCGCAGTGATGGACTGTAGCTTAGAACTGTGAGATAAACTAAGCCTTTCCCTGACAAGTTGCTCCTTCTCAGTCAAAAGGAACATGTGGAGGAAGTGGTTTATTTAGTCATACAACTCTCAGGTCCTACTCTATCACTGAAGGAAGTCAGGGCAGGAACCAGGAGGCAGGAACTGAAGCAGAAGCCATGGAAGGGTGCCATCTTGCTCCTCATGGATTGTTCAGTCTGCTTTCCTAGTCCACTCAAGACCATCTGCCCAGGGATAGCACTGGCCTCCTCCACACCCTCTTCCATGGACTGGGCCCATACACACCAATCATTGATTAAGAAAATGTACAGTGAACTTGCCTAAAGGCCAATCTGATTGATGGAGGCATTTTCTCAACTGAGGTTCTTCTTCCCAGCTAATTCTAGCTTGTGTCAAGTTTACAAAATACCAACCTAGCCATCAGCAACAGAAGCCATCAGGATATTGTATCACAGCAACAGAAATGAAGAAGGACACTGAGCTTGAGAAGGACACATGGCCTTGCTGTCCTTTAGCTCTGCATGCTCAATGAGACACGTAGACCCTTGCTTTTTGGAGCAGGTCACTTTGGAAAACAATACAGATTTCCCACCACGAGCCCTACTGGAGACACTACAAGTCAAGCTGCCTATTACAGAGTTTCCTACCTTATTAAAATGTCTTCTAGAATCTTGAGGAAATCATATGGGAAGCCTGAAGTAGCACAGCACTGTCTTCCTCCACCGTTAGATGAAAGTTCTGAAAATAAACAAAAAGTAAAAAGTTCCAGATCTCTGGCATTCTGGCGGCTTGAAAACAACAGATTGCAATAGGGGAGAGCTGAGGTGGAAAGTCAAGTGGTCCTTGAGGGACTCCGTGTGAAAGGCCTAAGTGCCCAGATGTGTAAGCATGTCAAGGCCTGTAGCACCAGGCATTTCTAGGAGGGTTATATTTGCATGCACAGACTGGAAAAGCCTGGGCAAATTGGCGCTACACCATAGCTTGCTTATTTATTTCTTTCCCTGTTCAATGATGGAGACTTTAATCTCACAGCCGCTGAAAGAGTAGCTTCCCAGCTAAGTGCCTCATGTCTGTGGGAGGAAAGAAGGAATGAAAGGGAAGAGAAAAAATACTCGGTAATTACAAATATTAAAGGGATCCACTTGTTTTTGGCAAATAGTGGGACTTCATCCCAAGCCGAGACTGTTGACAATGTGATATATCCCCATCAATATTTAGCTGTTAAAGCAGAGTGAGAATATTGGAGGAGTTTCAAAGATGCTTGAAGACACAGCAGTGTTCCTGGAATTTAACTCCTGGTGGTGAGTGTGTTTGGCATAACACATTGGCTGTCTGAGCTTTGGCATCTGTGCTAGCATCTTTGTGAAACATTACAGTCACACCTCATGTGTCAAGCACTAGATTGTGTTACTGATCAGCAGGCCTGAAGGAAATGAAAAAGAGCTTGTTATCAGGGACAATGGCAATCTATCCAATTCTTAAAAGGAGTGTCAAAGTTCTGGCACAGAAATGCAAAAATTACTTTTAAAAGGAGAATCAAAAACAGATTATATTAAAAAAAAAAAAAAAAAAAGCTAATCAGTACGTTACCCAAAGAAATAGGAGGTAAAAATCATCAAAGAAGCATTCCAAAAGAAAAATGCAGAAAGAATGGTGAGGGCTAGTTTAAGTAAGAAAGAGGGCCTGTGGGGAGAGCACAGCACAGTGGTATGAGCCAGCTCATACCACACAGCTATCACATGTGTGCAGTAGTCTAGGCTGGACCTTTTCTTAAATACTTGCTTGTCATCTATAGACACTGGACTTCTTTAGAGATGCCAAGGGCAAGATGCAGCAAGTCCCCCATAGATTATATATGGTAGCTTTGGCAACAAGTAGCAGAAAATAGATTCAACTGGCTTACACAGGGGTTGGCAAACAACAGCCTGTAGGTTGGCCACCTGTTTCACTGGAACATGTTGACATGCTCCCGTCTGCCAAGAGAAAGAGTGATTTCTCCCCTGGGTGCGGAACATAAATTTTCAATGAGATTGTGCCAACTTAGGACATGTGTCCGTCACTGGGCCAGCTGAGTTGTCAGAGAAGTGTTACATCTCTGACCCATGAGGAAGCCTCTGTGATGACGGGAGGCTTGAACACAGCAGCAACAAGACACGCAGTGGTGAATAAGTGGAGAAGGGCTGTGGGCCAATTGGACCGCAAACCCTGGGAGCCTTGAGGGCTGCCCTTTCCCTGTCTTTACACATTTGCTTCTCTCTCTATCTGTGATCAACTGGTTCTCCTCTTCTCTACCTGGTTTCTTTCACGTTTCCCAAAACATGGTGGAAATACAAAAGAAAGTATCTCAAACTCATGTCTCATTTTCCAAGTCTTTCTTTCAAGTTTTTAGAGCTAACTTTTGATAATCCCAGTCAAGCGTTAAGATCGTCCCTCAGCCAGAAGTGGGGTCATGTTCTAAGGAGATTCTCAGTATAATCATGGGAACAGAGTCAGTCTACAAGAGAGAGATAGGCAGGTGAGCCCATGGGTATTGGCTAACCAAATTTATTTCTTATGTCAGATGGTTCAATATTTTCCATTCCAGGAAATTGGTTGCATTAAAATTATTTTTCATTTGGGGAAATACAGACACAAAAGGGGTTCATTTAGACAAGATACCATGTCTTTCTTATGAAGCTGCAAAGGTAGGAATGTCGTTTGGCATTTCTGCCCCTGTTTCAGTGTTCCAAGATGGCAGTGAGTGTGTCTGAACTGTAGGCAGCAGAAAGGGGGAGGACTAAGAAGGGGCAAGAGTTACATACCAATTGCCATTTAAGGAAAATTCCAGAAGATGACATATCCAAGTTGAGCAACCCTAATCTCAAACTCTGAAATGTTCCAAAACTGGAAATAATTTGAACACTGCAATGACACCACAATTGGAAAATCCCACATCATGAAATACCATTTTATACTCCAAATTATTATAAGCACTCTATAAAATTGCTTTAAGGGTAGGTATATCTGAAAAATAAATGAATTTTGTGTTGAGACTTGTGTCCCAGTCACAAAACATATCATAATTATATACGTGGAAATGGTGCTGGGGTTATAGCTCCATTGGTAGACTTCTTGCCTAACATTCACAAAGCCCTTGTTCCACTTCCTAGCACCTGCAGTCCAGGAAATGGAGACAGAAGGCCCAGAAGTTCAAGGTCATCCTCATCTATATAGTGACTTCAAGAAAAATTACAAAAAAAAGGCAAATATTCAAAAACCTAAAGGAAAATAATCCAAAATTCCGAGCACTTTTGGCCCCAAGCACTTTGAATAAGGGAAACTCCACCGGTCATTCTTTTCAAGGGACACAGTCTCTTTCTTCTTCACAGACATCCATTTGCCCGTCTTTTTATAAAATAAACCTAGTTTCTATTACTATGGAGTAAGAAAACGTGTACTGAGGGATTGATACCTTCTCTCCATACTAAGCATTCAATTTCAAGCTATGCAAGACTAAAACCACTTCTTCAAACATTTTATGATGTAGGTTTTTAAATTGTTTTCTTAATTGTATGTGTGTCAGTATTTTATTCTAACCTATGTCTGTATACCACTTGCATGGCTGGTGTCCGTGGAGGCCAGAAGGGGGTGCTGGATCTCCTGAAGCAGGAGTTACGGGGGTTGTGAGCCTCTGTGTGGGTGCTGGAAATTGAACCTGGGTCCTCTGGAAGAACAGCCAGTGCTCTTACACGGAGCTATCTCTCCAGCCCCAAAGCACTTTATTGTTATTGCGTTTATTTTGTATTAACAAATAGTTATTTCTGTTTCTGAAGTACAATGGGATATTCTGGTCTAATTATATATGGCAGAAAGAGTCCATCAAGACAACTGATATATTGCAATAGTTGGATATGGGATGTCTCCCAGAGGCTTGTATGTTCAAGGCTTAGTCTCCGGTACGGCAACCTCCAGAGGGGGAGCTTGGAGGAAGTGACTGGATTCTGAGGGCTCTGGCGTCAGCGGATCTAGCAGAAGGAAGTGAGTCCTGGGGGCATGGCCTCGGAGTCTGTGTCACTCAGCCCTCTTTGTCCAGCTGTCACCAAGTGAGCAGCCTTGCTCTGCCACGTGCTCCTAGCCGTGACCTTCTGCCTCACTGTAGAAAGCAGAGCCAAAGACCACAGAGGGAAATCTCTGAAGCCAGGGGCCAAAACAAAATAAACAAATAAATCTTGCCATCTTTAAGTTAATTTTCTTGGTTGTTGTTTTTTCAGCAATTAAAAGTGAGCACGGTTATCTTTCACCTCAGCAACTCCTTTTTTTTCCTGTGTGATGAGGATCTTTAAAGTCTGTTGGCAATTTTGAGATAAACAATTCCAACTGAGAGAGAAGAAAGGCATTCCTGTTAAGAGGTGTAAACAAGAGATCAGAAAACAACTCCTATTTGTACCTTGTGTAGTAGCTACTTTTTTGTTGCTGTGCTAAAACACAGGGCAACTTAAGAAGAGGAAAAGTTGTTTTAGCTCATGGTTTCTGAGGGAGGAGAGTCCACGCGGTGCAGCAGAGGCCAGTGGCTGGGGCAGGAGGCTGAGAGCTCCCTGCCTGAGCCACAGTCCAGAGCAGGGAGAGTGAACTGCCCATAGGTTGGGCCTTAAGCTCTCAAAGCCCACCCCTCAGTGACAAACTTGCCCTAGCAAGGCCACACCTTCTAAACCTCCCCAGCCGGGAACAAAGTGTTCAAATAGGTGAGCCTTTGACACTCCCATTCAAACTACTGCACCCCGTAACTGAAATTTAAATACCTGGTTATTGTTTTCTTTATGTCATGTGAGATATTCATTATGAAAGCAGTGCTGTTGTTCTAATGAGGAATGTGCCTCCTATGACAAGTTCAGGTCGTTTTAAGAAAAATTCTGTAGGTGTCACACTATAAAAGGAGACAGATTAGCATTTCTTAAATTCTGACTCAGACTTTCAGATGCTGGAAACCTATGGTTTAAGCTTGGAAACCACCTTGTACTGGCTCAGCTATCACTGGTTCAGTGACCAGGGTTACTGGTTGCTGAGAGTGTCCCAGAGCTGTTCGCTACAATGAGAGCCGGTAAGGGTTCCATCCGAGGCCTCTGAACCCATCACTGACGGTCCACTCTCTTCATCATGTGTTTGCCACAATCTCCTGAGACTGAGGGATGTCACCGGTGCTGATTTAGCCAATCAGGTCTCACATCTGTGAAGGAATAGAGTAGAGAGAGTTTTTTGTTGTTATGGCAGTTTTTGGTTTGGTTTGGGTTTTGTGTGTGTGTGTGTGTGTGTGTGTGTGTGTGTGTGTGTGTGTGTGACTGAAAAGTTCCCGAAAACTTCAGCTTCCCTGCTGAGGTTGTGCCAGCCATGTGAGCCAGCACCCTTCCTACAGTTAGGGGGCATGAGAGCAATTACGTCAAGTATTATCTGGCAACAAGAATAGAACATTATTCTGAGCAATAAGGTGTTATTCAAATTCGCCCGAAGTACACAGATGCAGTAACATGGCAATTATTCTAAGGAAGAACGTCTGATTTAGAAATTACTTAACCTTTTGGTTTCTATTTTTGATAACATTTGTAATCTAAATGAGCAACCAACCTGCTTCTCTTAGGCTTTTACATCATATTTGAAATCTGATTTGCAATTTTATTTTGAGCTCATCCTCCCATTTATTAGTGTTCAGTCAATATCTAAAAGACTGAGACATTCTAGGCCCAGGTGATTTGCAGACAAGGAGTAGAGAAAAAAGCAATTAGCCCCATTGTTTCTAGCATGGCAAAGCTGCAGCATGACACGGCTCAACTGCTCCTTTTCTCACTCGTGCTGCCCTGTGAGGTCTGGGGATGGAAGGAAGTCAGATAATGACTGGTTTTTGCTCAATGTTGAAACTGGCCTCTCCCCAAGAACTAACAAAACAATCCACCATTGATTGTTACACAGTCAGGCATCAATCCTCAGAGAACCACTCATTAATTCATTATTTTGGCAGTAAGTTTACAGGCTCCTGTTTGTTCTGAGCTGTGTGCTTAACTATGCCCAGAAAAGGACCCCAGCCTCAGAGACTTTAGCATTCAGTGACACTGGCATCACTTTGATTATAGGAACAATCTACAAGTATATAGGAACTGACTGGAGGAAATACATATAAATGACCAGAATGGTTGTGTGGGATTATATAACTCTCTTAAGTACTAGACTTCCTATACCACTACCATGGTATAGGATGGTATATCCATGGTATATAGGTATACCATGCCTATAGCAATGTTCTCAATTTTAAAAATATAGCATTTATTTGAAATACTAGTCTTATGTTTTGAATGACAAATTATTTCTTCAACTAGAGTTACTTTAAGGGTGTACAAGAATTTTAATTCAGAACATGAGTGCTCTGGCAAGAGATCACATCCAAAGACCTTCCAAGTCTGTGTGATCCAGCTGGAACACAGACACAATGGGTACACGCCTTTAATCGCAGAAGATCTCCAAGTTCAAGGCCAGCCTGGTATAAAGCAAGTTTCAGGTAAAGAAAAGCTTAGTTCCAGATGTGGTGATATATACACCTTTGATCCTGAACGATGAAGGTAAAGTTGGTTTGTAGAAGAAAGTAGCCATGTTTGAAAGTGATGTCTAATTGCGTGGCAGACAAAGTGATGAATCAGAGAAAGATTTGACAGAATAGGATAAGACCAACTCTCATGAGAACAGAGAGGAAAGGGAAGCTACTTAAGGGAGCAGCACAGAGAATGAGGAAGAGAGCAGGCAGTTTTACAGAGAGAGGTTGCAGAGAGAGAGCAAGCTAGACACAGGTAAAGACAGAAGGAACAAGAGAATGAAAAGGAGCCACAAGATTAGAAAAGATTGTTGGAGTTATTTTGAGGCCAAACAGAGCAAATCAGAGGCCAAGAGAAAATCCAGATTAAATAAGTTAGCTGGGAGAAGAGTTTGAGCCAGAACAGCTGAGTTGAACCAGCCAGCAGAGATTATTCAACAGTAATTCTCAGAGGCTGAAAACATTCTAGTCCTAGATTACAATGTATGGAGGCTAGAAGCTTCCAGGACTAGGCCTAGGTTAGGAGATGGAGGCATTAGGCTCCAAGATAACAATTATGTCAAATGAATAAAAGTTACTTTAACAGAAGGGGGAAATCTTTATTATAAATAAAAAGCAATGTATCAAGGTAGCTCATGCCTTTCTAGACAGCACCAAAGAGGTAAAGGCAGAAGGATCCTGAGTTTGAGACCAGCATGGAACTATATCTAAATCTTACAGTAGTCTATTTCAAAAGGAAAAAAAAAATTGCTTTATCTATGAAATCCACATCAATTATTTTAATCATATTACAGATGGATTATATTCCCATTTGCATAACCTAATTGTTAAGGAAATTCACAGAAAGAGCAAAAAGGGCACATATGAGAATGCTGGGCAGTAGCTTCCACAGTATGAAGAATGATGAGATGAACGACCCCTTTAGCTTCTGTGCCAACCATGTTGTCATTTTACCTTCATGAGTGTGTAATGGCCGACATTAACACAAAATAGTCTTGAGAAGTTTCAGAAATGTTGGTGATTGGAACCCACAGCCCACCTCACAGCACTAAGAAAAGGGCTTCAGGAAATGCCCCCAAAAAGGAAGTGCTGATATAAACACCCAACACCTGTAGCTGCCAGCACACCTGGGCTAACAGCAGTCGACAGCTCCACCTAGAAGCCGACTTCTCATCAAAATCCCACCGGCTTTCAAGTGAAGCAGGTCACGAATTCAACAGCTCTCTGAATGCTGTGAGTGCCTCTCACAGGGGACTGATGGGCATTCTCCTAAAAACTGGTGTGGAGTGAACACTGAGGTGTTTGATCAAGCGACTCCTCTAGCTAATGCCCTTCAGATGCCTCCAGAGTAGAAATACCGGGACAATTTGAGCATTTCAAAGACTACCAAAAGGACAGGGATGTGGGGAGGGAAAAGGAGGTGTTTGTAGGGCTCTTAACAGCACCCTATGAGGTGAATGGATTCTCTGAATGCCTTTAACCTCTCAGTACTCAAACTCATATGCTCATTTCTGTGACCAGGAAGTGAGAGATTTAAATCTCCATTAAAGTCACTAAATCAACACAGATAGGACTTGTATAGACCTTCCTGTTTGTCATTCCTGCCTTTGAGGGTTTGAACTCTATTCAAATACATGCCATGTGGCCTGCACTGATCTTGGTGTTTGGAATGTGTCAATGAACAAGACGAAGACTCCTGTCCTAACAGGTTATGTATAGGTGAAAGATAGAAAGTAAACAATAAACATAAGTAAGTCATTTCAATGTACGCATGAAATAAAGGTAGAAAAATGAAATATCAGGCCAGGGTGACACATCCGATGTTCTGAGCACTAGCAGGGAAGGCGGTCCAGTCTTAAACAGCTGGCAGCGCAGACTCCACTAGGACGTGAGGGAATGGAGGGAGTGTTCTTGTAATCATGGCGAGCACTCCAGACTGAGGGCTCCAATACCCCTGAGGGGATTAGAGGAGCGGGCAAGACTCTGCTGTGGCTGCAGTGAACTGAAACCAGGACAATAGAGCCAGTCATCTGGGGTGTGTCAGCCTTTGCAAGCACTCATCTTTACCCTGAATGAAACGGGGCGCGACTGGGAGGTTTTGAGCTTATATTTGATTTACATTTCGGAAGCATCATAATGCCTGAATTCTCAAATCAGAATGACAGAGTGGGAAGGGTAGGAAGAGGCATACTCATTGAGAGGCTACTGCAATCTAGGAGAGAGGTGCTGTGTCTCAGGAGAAAGCAGAAGGGCTGAAAATTAATTGGACATAGGCTGTTAAAAGATTTGGGAACAGATGAGAGGAAAGAAAGAGGCACAGAGGAGGACTCCGAGGTCTGAGGTTCAGGGGAGAGTCAAAGTTGGAGACAGGCATTTAATGGCTTCTTTTTGATAGATAGTCAAGGCCATGGAACACGGCCTTGGAACAGAGTGGAGAAGAAGCCCCAAAAGACCAAACCGCAGGACCTTTCACCATTATATACAAAGCCAAAGAGAAGAGGAGGTAGACTCGCAAAGGAGACCAAAGAGGAAAGCAAGAACAGGGTGAAGGTGGGAGGTGGGGACAGGGATGGTGCGTCCTGAAAGCCAGGTGAAGAAGCCATTTCCAAGGAAGAAGGGTCATTAGTTGTGCCATCTGCTGCAGGCACACATCCCTACAACGTGACCGGAGAG